CGGTGGTCTCCCCTCTGTGTGTGTCTGTGTCCCGACCTCCTCTTCTCATAAGGGCACCACTCCTACTGGGTGAGGGTGCACCCTAATGAACTCATTTACCTTCATTACCTCTTTAAAGACGCTACCTCCAAATATTGTCACAAGCGGAGATCTGGGGCATTAGGACTTAAACATGTGGATTTTGGGAGAAGTTCAGCCCACAAGGGCCATTCTCATCATGTCAGGGGCCCGAGCCATCAACGCACCTCGTCACTGTTGAGGGTGACCCTGCTCATCTAGCTGAGGTGTGTCTGTCAGTTTTTCCCTGTAAAGTCATTCCTGCTTTCCCTTTTCCATACTGTGCTCTTTGGAGAGAAGTCCCAATGTGCAGCCCACACTTAAGGAGTGGGGACTGTGTTCCATAAACTCTTAGAAAAAATATAGGGGTAAATCTTTATGACCTTGTTTTTGGCAATGCAATCTTAAGCTACGACACTAAGAGCATAAGCAACAAAAGAAAGAAACATAAATTGGGCTTCATCAAAATGCAAAACTTATGTGCATAAGGGCATTATCAAGACAGTGAAAAGAAAACATACAGCACAGGAGAAAATATTTGCAAGTTATATATCTGATGAGGGGCTAGTATCCAGAATATATGAAGAACACTTACAACTTCACAACAAAAAGATAAAACTCTAGCTTTTACAAGTAAATGCTGTAATGAAGAACCTTGTGCACAAGATGTTTTGCATGTTTGAGCAGATCTGTAGAATAAATTCCCAGAAGAGCACGTTCTTTTCTAATTTTGACACCTATTGCCAAATTGCCCTCAGTTGAGGGTGTACCAGTTTTGATCCTGCCAGAATTTATTTCCAAACCTACTCTGATATATGCCAACACGCCGAGAATGCTCATTACGACGTTATTCGTAATAACTCCAAATTGGAAACAACCCAATGGCCCTCAACAGGAGAATGGTTAAATACATTATGGTCTTGTTGAGTATTACAAAGTAACGGAGACGAACAAAGTTCTGCTACCCACAGCCTGGAGTAATCTCCCACGCATGTCAGTGAAAGCAGCCAGACACAAATCAGTACTTACTGTGGGATTCCAGGGAGGTGAATCAATCGTGAAGTTAAACGGAAGAAGTATTCTCTGATGAATGATCAAAACAGTGGTTAGCCTTGGATGGGGGACACTACATGGGCACAAGAGGGTCTCCAGAGTTGCTTGGAACATCCTATCCCGGATGACAGCTACATAGGTGTACAAGTGCATAAAAACTCATCAAGCTATGTGCGCTTCACTCATATATGTTACATCTCAATAAAAAGTAAAGTAAAAAAAAAAACCCAGCCAGCCTTGATGTGCTAACAGCACAGTGATGGCAGCAGGCAGTCTCCTTCGCTACGAAGGGTCAGGTGGCAGACCCTGTCTCTTCTGTCCAGTCTTGAACGCGCTGTGGTTTCCAGGCATACGGAAGGGAGGCTCATAGGTCCCTCTGGGGATGTCCAGGCTTCGTCCTGCTCCCTCAGAGGTGCACTGCTCAGGCCGCTCTCCCCGGTGCCCTTCCCCGATGCCGTCCCCGGCCTCGGCCATTCTCCGCACCAGCTGTTGAGCAGCTGCCTAGTTATTTATAGCCTTGGGGCTCCGCATGAAAGGAGCGTCTTTCGGTGGGTCCTTCCTCCCGCCACTGACCCTGCTCTGAACTGCTCTCTCCCCACCCACCTCAGCCTTTCACCGTTTCTGGAACATTCCAGATCCCACAGCAGGGCTACATGTTGCTGAGATGAGGGGTTTCCCCTGCGGAGCTGATTCCCGGGGCTCACCTCTAGGACTCCGCTGCAGTGACCTTAACTCTCAAAGGGCTTTTGGATGAGGCAGGGAGAGCTTATTTCTACCCCGACTGAAGCTAGGTCCCAGGGTGTTGGCTTTTGGCCGCCATGCCATCTCTCTGGGTGAAATAACACTTCCTAGAAGGTTCAGATGAGCGTTCATTCCCTTCCCTGGAAGCGATGGTGGTCCTGACCTCTCCTCCCAGGATTTCCTGGACGGACTGGAGAGGCCAGGCAGCCCCTGTCCGCCGTGCTCCCCCTCTGCCTGGTGAGGCCCCCTGGGGATGTGGCTCTCCTCTGCCTGCCCCACCCTGTGGGAGTTCCCGGGTCCGAGGCCACGCCCCTCAGAGCACTTTGGCAAGGGACTGTCATCCCTCAACTCCATCCCCCTCCCGGGGAGCAATGGCAGCATCCTTCCGGGACATTGAATCTTCTCTCCAAGCCCCGTTTGGCCCCAAATTAGTCTTGTTCCTCATTTGGGAAAACCAGGATGCTCCTGCCCCCGCCACAGACTGGAAGGTGGTTGGCTGGCCCCCTCAGCAGCCACCAGCAGGGGAAGGAATGAACCGAACCCCAGGGCAGTTCAGCTTAAAACTGCAGGGAAGCCCACTCCCCAGGGAATAAGATGGCAACTTTCAGCTTTTCTGTTATCGGAGGCAGATACCTACCGAGGAGACGTGCTCTGAAAGCATGATCTTGAAATGGGTCTTCCAAATCAAATCCATTTAAAAAGTAGTAAAGGCGTTGCCTGCTCTGCTCTCTCTCTTTCCCTCTCTTCGTCCTTTCGCTTCCCCTCCCTCCCTCGGTGAGGCAAAGTATCCCCTGTAATGGGGAGGAAGGTCTGGTAAGCCAGATTTAAATGGACCTCACTGGGTAGGCGTGGGGCATAAAGTCCATGTTCTCTGTGTTCCCGACAAGCTGAGCAAGTTGGCCTCCCCCGGGACGGCGGGTCGGCCCGTCTCTGCGGGCTGAGAGGTGGGACTACAAGGCAAGTCAGTTTGTTCAGGAGCACAGGACGCTCGCTTTGCTGGGACCCACTGCGTTCTCCATTGAGGGCTTTCGGGGGTCTGCGTGCACCTAGGCAATCAGAATCCCCCCTCAGGCCCTGCCTGTGCAGACTGTGGGGGCCCAGGAATTATGGACAGAAAAACAAAAACAAAATTAGTCCGTGTCCTTTGAGTCTGTGGCTGCCTGCCAATGGTCTCCTTCAAATACAAACATTCCCATTTTCATTCTGGAAGTTTTTGTCAGGTTATCGCAAATGGAAGGGTGAGCAGACAGAAACAAAATGACATTTGCTGAGCTGGAATGACTGTTTCTAACTCCACTCTCAGGAGCACACCATTGTATGTGCGCTTTTCCAGGGCAATCTCCTTTGCGGGGGCTCTAAATCCAAGTCAGAGACAGTATTATTTTACGACCCATCTTGGGTTCCGATGCATGTGCATTTCCACGCGTGCATAATAAGTAGGCATATGGCCAATATGTAGCGAGGACCATTGTCAGCCACCACTGGAAACATATGCAAGACAGATGGGCACTAAATCCCCAAGATAATGGAGAATTCTAATGAATTTCATTGGCATCAAAATTTTATGTTCTGGTAAATTTACGAAAGCCATGAAATTAAGATGACTGCCTGAACAAAAATACCAGAGTGACTAATTAAAAAAAAAAAGCCCTCCAGAAAAACTAATTGATAAATCAAAACTAAGACCAATACCCTTTTAAAAATTGAGAATGATATCCCTGAGTTTTAACGTTTGCTCACAGATCCCTTTGGCTATAAGAGCTCGTTATACAAGAAAATTCTGTGTTTCAAAACAGTGTTACAACCTTGGTACCTGGTTGTGTCAATTGAAGTGTCTCTCCAGATGGTAATGGACAAGGAACGCCTGGTCTCCAAGCACACAGGGAGGGTCTGAGGGGTCACCTGGCATGGCCCAATCTCAGGAGAGCCACCGGGCAGAAAAGGGGTCCCTTCCAGGGCATGATTCTATTTAAAATGATGTTGTCTTATTTGCACAGGTGCTTGATAACTGGAAAAAAGAGAAGGTGAACAAGATTTCCTTAATGCACACAAAAAATGTAGCCCTCAGGGTTTTGTTGATACTGCACACCTAAAGACCTTTCTCCCCACCTCCCCTGCATACTGTTGAGAGGTTAGGAGAGCAAGACTTTTCTCTCTCCAGACAATTGGGCTGAATTTAAAAACAAAAGCTAGAAAAGTCCACTTCGTTCCCAGGGGAAGTATACTACTTTTTGAATTGTCTGCTAACTAGCGTCACACACCTGTTTCCCCAACACCAGCTTAAAAAAGTCAAACTCAAGAGTGCAGGAAATCTGGCCCAACCACACGTGAAAAGAATGTCCTATGATTCCCAGGTGCCTGGGCTTGTGGGCTCGATTTCAACATATTCTTACAACGCAGGGAATTGGCAGTCACACTTCTAAGTTAAAAAGATTGGGAAACTGGGCCAAGGAATAAATACTTACTCTGGAGCTGTACTATTGATTAAAAAAAAAAAAAACCCTGGAAAAATGAACCCTTTTCTTCCATTTTTGCTCAAAGCAGACCAAAGAAAACACATTTTGGTTCACTCCTGTCTCTGGGCTAAATTCTATATTGAACAAACTCCACAAAATTGCAGAGAATGCTCGATCAGACATGGACTAGTGCATCCTACCTGGATTTCTTAACATAGAGTCTTTACCTTCTTTTCCGGTGTTGGAAAGAGGGACCCCCAGGGACAGGGTGCTTCTTTGCCTTCTTTCTGTATTTGCCTGTTGGCAACAGCTTCCTGCTCAAGGGAAGGGGCTGCTCACCTTTCAATCACAAGAGTGGCATTCAAGGCCCTAAAAACTTGCCACCACAATTGTGTGTTCTGAACACTTACTCAAGTTAATGGGAGCTGATGGTGGCCCTGCGCAAGGCAGGCTGGCGGAAGGGCTGCAGTGCCTGCTCCCTGAAATGCCCTCATCTGGATTGAAATGCAGCACCAGCTGGAGACCCCCTTGGACTCACAAGGCATAGGCACGTGGTGAGCACTATGAACTGGTGTGGTATTAAAAATGGGTTTCAGGAGTCTTGCAGATAAATCCATTTCCCAGTTGATAATTTATATTAAGCACATTTTCTACTTGAATTCATGTCAAGCCCAGAATAAATAAACAACAGAATTTGAGTTAATTATACTGTATTTTGAATTATTTTCCTAGCTTTTGTCAATCTATAGTGTGAAGTTTTCTCTGATACAGTAAAACAGTTTAATATACAACAGATTACAAGGTCTGTAGTAACAAATTAAAGGTGATGTGCTTTTATCTATATACATACAGAGCTAAATATTTCACAGATACAATTCTACCTGTTTTTGGTTGCTGACAGAGCATAAGCAGCTTTTCTTTTTTTAAATTTACAATTGGGCTCCTTCCCTTTAACCGAAAGAAACTCTGAGTTCCTGCTCAGCAGCACTTTCCTCTCCTTGGAAAAGAGAAGACAGCGAGGCAAACATGAGAAAAAGTCTGCTGGGAGAAAATGCGATTTAAAAAGAAACTATTCCGTGCTTTGGAAGAGGCAGATTATTATTCATGATCGTCAGTGACTTCATTCTGTGCTCATGACAGGCAAGGCGCAGTGCCCGAGCAGAGGAAGCCTCAGTCAGAGCGTGGGAGAGAACGCCGGCTTTAGGATAGGACGGGCAAGCACACAGGTCAAAGGCCGCTTGAACAAGCCGCTGTTACCCCTTCACAGTGCTAGGACCCCACGAACTACGGGAGTGTGCTCTGGCACCTGCTCGATGCCAATCCTGCAGCGTTACGTCACACCTCACGGGCCTCACAGAACTGGCTTTGGTATCAGGATAACTACGTTACTGAGACAGCGGAAGTTGATTTTAGTAACTGGATCCTCTCAGGGACAGCTAAATCCTGCACGCTGTCAGTTACAAATTGTGAAATCGACACAGGATTTCCAAGATGTTAAGGCTTCAGGTTTTTCACTCCGTGCTCACCTGTGTGTTGTTACTGGTGCTTCGGTTTGATGCTATAGTGTGAAGAGGGTGCACCCAGAGGCCCTGCCTGGCACACCCCGTCTGATGGCTTTATGGAGTGCCCGCTGCTGCAGCCCTTGAAGGGTGGGGGTGGGGAAGGGCCCCTTGGGAGCTGAGCTCTGCTGCATTAGGTCACCGAATGCTGTGAACTGCATTTTGTGGACATCCACTTTTCTGGGCATTCCCAGTGGGTCCTCTGCTCTGTCCCTGACCTTCCCCCAGTCCAAGGTCAACTTGGGGGCCCCAGAATCATTGGTAGGGGGTCTCTGTGTTCCACACTGGCCTGACAGTCTAGCTTCCTGTTGCCTGGGCCAGCCAAGGGGTGGAAGAACGAAGATCCTCTTTGTGAGCCCAGATCAGACTTAAACTCCCAGCTCTTTGTTCTGGCAGCTTCTTGGGGCTAAAACCGGAGGGGCTTGCAGGCGATTTTCTGAAGAGGTGTGGGTGCCACAGGCTTGCCCAGGACCTGGTGGCAGTTTACAGTGAGGAGCTTGGAGTGTGTCAAGCTGGGACAGTGCATGACATGCAGACCAGGAAGTGTCACAAGCAGAACACGAAGGTCGCCGAGTTCACAGGGAGGCCAAAGCGGCAACGGGAGGCCTGGCATTGTGTTGGTGCTCAGAGCTTGCCTTCCTGCACTGCACAGGAGCTGAGGAAGGAAGCTCCAGTCTCCTCCTCGCTGCCAGACTGTCTCAGGGCTCATCCACATTTCTCAGTGCTCATGCTGGCACTGGCAGTGCCCCTGCTAGAAGGCATCCACAGGGCTGTTGCTGTGAGCGTAGATGCCAGAGGTCTTGTTTGTGGCACTGGCAGGAGCCACCAGCTGGGCACACAGGCAAACTCTTTTGCAGTTTCGGTAACTACCAAATGGCTACTTCCCTAGAACATGCTAGGTTTTCTCTCAAAGCTCGCAGGTCTGGGCCTATGATAATTCTGCTTACAAAACAGGCAGTTGAAGAACTTTGGAAATGAGAAGCTGAAGGATGGAAGCGGCCCAGTGTATGGGCCCCAGGTAAGGGGATGCAAGATTTTGGATCAGCATCCATGTGACTCATGCAGCGAATTCATTTCTTCTCATTTAAAATATTTTATGAAGATGCTTTTATCCTACATTATCTGGGTAATTGCTTTGACTTCTTTTTCCCAAATAGTTGTACCATATCTTCTTAGGTTTGAATTAATTTCCTGAAAGTTCACATATATTGCATTCTTCAGTATTAACAAACAACAAACAAATCCAACACTCTCCAGGTATCACGATAGAGAAGGATCTTTAGAAGGAGATGGAAGTTCTTGACAGAAGTTTTTGGAAAGCACAGCTCGTCATGAAATTAATAATAGAAATTGGAGGTCAAGGATGATATGCTGCCATGTTCTTTTGTGCTAAATGAATATTCTACAAGTATCTGCAAGGCCATCCTAAGTCTTAACTCTTGAGGAAGAGAGGTCATCCTGACAAACCAAAATTAACAAAGAGAAGTTCAAACCACCATGTTAATAAGTCTTGCTTCTGAAAAATAAAACTATTGGCTCCTTCAGTCCTTCATAGTCAACAAAGTCCATTTTTTTGCCCAAGATCCCCCAATTGACATGAAAATGGCAAATCATGCTCTATGATATTTCAAGTTAAGTGACCAAGTAGTAGTTTTTCTTCTCTCTCTTTAATACTTCCCTAAAATACTGGAGGTGTACAGATATATACAGACATTTTAAAAACATAAGGAATTTATTGTGCAATCAATTTTGAGAAAACCTGATTTCATGTTAAACATATGGAATATATCTCTGTTACGTTAGCAGGAAACACAGGAGACAACATAATCTCCATTTTACACTGAGCTTTCTGAAGGCACCAGTGTGTTGCCGACTTTGCCTCGGTTCCCTGATGGTCTTGGTTAGCACATGGACACAAGTCCATATGGACACCTGAATAGTTTTTAAATTCTCCATTCTAAGCTTTTACTAGATAGTAACTAGTAAAATACTCCACATATAATTCAAGTAGCCAGCTTTACAAAAATCATGGTAGAGGGAGAGAAGGGAAGATGTGTTTTACCTTGTCCATTGCTTGACGACCTGCTGTCTCATCTGACCATTTAAATGCACAGTGTCCCATTCCACAGCTGGAAGGGGAGGCCAAGACATTTGATCATTTGGACTTGGCAGCGTGTTATTTTCTGGCTGTGAAGCTGGGATTCATGGGCAACAACCAGCTGAACTGGGGTAAGCCACTCAGGTACTGGACTTTCACCTCTGCCTCCCTAGTGCACCGATGCATCCTAAGGGCAAAGGGCGTTCCAGGTGTTTTGAGTCCCTTGGCAGAAAGCTCCAGCAGGAGACCGCTTTACCTGCAGAGGCATGTTCGCATATGTGAGAACTGAAGTCAGCAGCTAAACAGTTATTTTCATCAATCAATAAAGTATCTGCTCATCATTTTGCTGTTGGTTCATCGATACTGCCCAAGTGAGGGAGTATGGCATGGTACTGAACCTGGCAGGGAGGTCAGAGATAATGGTGGACGGGGGTGGGGACCACAGGAAGAGTGGGGGCACATGTCTGTGGAGAGGAGTGGCTGGCTAGGGGACAAACACCAGAGCTGGGGTGGGCTGGTCTTTGTGCAGAAGACTCCCAGAGGCCAGTCCTGGAGACCTCAGAGGCTGGGATGCCGGAGAGAATGTGAGGTGGCGGTCCTAAAAAGGAAGGGCACGGTGAGCCGCTGAGGCTTGCCTTGGGCACAAGGATGTCTGTGTCCAAGGGAGTCCAAGCTGAGTGTGCAGGTCTGTATCATCCTCCTTTTCCCAGAATCACATGGACAAGTCCAAGCAATTTCTCCTTTCAGGTGCCATTCATTACCCTCCCAAAACAGGATTTTTTTTAGATGAAGCTGAGAAGAAGGAGAAAGAGCAACTCCTTCAGAAGAGTGCTGGAGCCTGGGCTGCGTCGAATCACTGTCAGGAGAAGATCGTTTTAAAAATACAGTGTGTGGCCTTATGGGTGGCATGTGGACTGGCCCCTCTCCCATCGAGGGACCAATGCAATATTGGTGCAGCTGTTTTCCCTGAGTGTTTCTCATCTGTTGCTCTTTCTCAAGAGACTGAATACTTAAGACCACAGACATGAAGATCTCTAACAGGTTACACATAACACTAAGGAGCCACTGTTGAAAATGTCAATAAGAGAAATGTCCCTATGAGACCCCAGAGATCTTGAGCTTCCCTTCAGTGTACAGTGGAATCCATAACAGTAAAGCCATCATGAAAAGGAGAGTTTCTAGTCACAGCTCTTCCTCAGAGATTCTCAAATGTCACAGCAACTCTCACAGTCTGAATAAAGGGAGCTTTGGCGTCATTTGGCACACAGTAGGTGCTCAATCAATACTGGCTGAAGGTAACTTATCCATTGGAAAGAATTTGACTAACTTTGTATTTATTTATTGAAAAGATCTCTGAGTGGCTCTTGAAATATATTTAGATAAGTAGGACATAAAACTCAAATATATATAATCTGATTGTAAATGCATATATAAACTGGCGGCATTAATGTGTTTAATCACATTTCCAATGGGGAGTCTGGAAATGCTTGGAAACCTCATTTATAGATAGTTATGATTAAAAAGCATCATCCCTCTAGTTATTGCAGATCAGAGGGGCCCTTCATTTGGGTCCAGGAACTCCTGAAATTGTATGTAACACTGACAGCATTTATTTTTATGTGCAACTTTTCTGGAGGGAGGAGCTATAACTTTCATCAAATTATCACAGGCTGTGCGAGCCGAAAAAAGGTTAAGTATTGCTGCCGTTGACTGAGCTCTCAGGAGGCACTCAGATGGCTCAAGACATGATTACTTAACTTACTTCTTCAGACTTCCAGGCCCAGCAAGGATATGTGAGTTTCCCAAGCTTAAATTACTCTAATATATAGTAACAACTCTTTGGGTCATGTCATTAAAAAAATTTTTTTTTACAAAGGAACTGTATAAAAACAGACACTTGGAAAGATTTTAAAGTTACATGTATATGGTGTGCAAGTGTGTCCTTTTCCTTGATCATTTCCTGTCACATTGCTTTCCCGTTAGCATCCTTGACCGGGCACTTGGAATCTATTCCAGGTGGCCACGACGATAGATTTCCACAGCACAGAGAAGCAACCACATGTGCAAGAGATTTTAGATGGAAGAGAAACCACAAATCAGTTCTGAGACTTGTGCAAAAGTTAGAGGCTGCCTTTCTTGACTGTTTGAGAAATTCTGAAAAGCCCCCCCAGGGAGCCCTTTCTGGGAGAGAGACCCACATCCTTACAGGGCCTTCAATGCAGCAGAGACCACTATTCATTCCCTAACCTCCAGAAAAGCTCCTAGGGATGTCCCTTAGCACAGGCTTGGGAGGAAAGGGTGCCCACACCACGAGGGTCCTCATGGCACCAGGTTCCAGCAGAGAATCACCCAGAAGCTTGGTGCCTGCGAGCTGATGAGCAAGGACTAGCAACATGCGTCTTCATCTCCCATCACTGAGTCTATAAGAGGATCTTGTGCTCTGATGTTTTCATAAATACTGGGTTCCCTAGGAAAACCCCTCTAGGGGAAAAACCTCTAAACCCCAGCAGATCCACAATTTGGCTCCAGTTTTGGAGGTGTTGCAAATCCCTAAGATATGGACTATTCATTTTTCTGGGAAGAGACTTTCTGACTTTAAACAGAGTCTAAAATGGGTTTGTGACTTCCCCTGTGATCCGGGCATCCCCAGGGGCTCTGCAAAGGAGAGGCTACTTGGGTGTATCTTTTTAGAAAACCTACCTCATTTTCTCAGTCAATTTTTTCTCAAGATATTGCAGGAAAAACTACTTAGAAAGCTAAAAAAATAGGGATATCATCACAGGCATGACTTTTCCTGAAACCTCTAATTCTTTTTAAAGTTCCACATAAAAATACTTCACCACCAAAGTTAACTGTAGCAAATATGTCCATTAAAAAAAATACAAAAATTTTTTTTTCAAAGTCATGACGTCAAAGAAAAGCAAATCTTCCTATTTCAGCCACAAACTGTAGGAAGTGAGGGGTGGCCCTAATTTCTGAAGTGGTATGGATCTTTTCAATGAGGAAATACCAGGCATCAAATATTTTATATTTTAGAATATTTTAATGTCCATTTCTTCAGTGGATGCATTTTGAAATTGTTAGAATTAACAACTTAAAAAGAGGAGAGCAAAGGAAAGACGGAAAATGCAAGCAGTTGATTCTTATTCATTTAACTTTAGACGGTAGGCATGATGTAATTTTCTGAAGCGACCAACCAAAAACTGCTTACCTTGAAAATCTAGAAATGCAAATGCTGGATGGATCTTTGGAAATTAGAAGTAATTTTAGCCCATGTAGTGGGAAGCATGCAGCCCTGGCTCTCCATGTCTTGTGCAAATGTGCAGGTATCGCCTCTGCGAGTGGAGTCAGTGTTGATGGAGCTGTGGGCAGGTGCCACATAATCTGTGTGCCCCTTCAAGCTGCTTCCAGGTTTCACAGCTGACGCTCTACATTTGTTTGCATTGGATGAAATCATGTGTGCTTGTTTACATATATATATATATATATACACACACACACATATATATACACACACACACACACACATATATATATATATGTATATATACATACCTGGGACCAAGAAGAAAATAGCAATTGCAACTTGAAGCGACTATTTACACACATTCAATTGTGAAGTATTGCTTCCTGACCTAAGTTTGTAAGAGGTATTGCCACTCTGAAGAATGCATCTGTTGTATCGGTAGTACTTGAACTGCTGCTTAGAAACTCATCTGTTTTCAGCAGCTCTGTGCAATGTTCGGCATTTCTGCTGCAGGGATGCTGTGGTTCTGCACTGAGGTACACATTGGAGCAAGGAACTGGGAAGGGCCTGTGTCACCTGGTGGCCCGGAGGGAACATCTTTCCTGGTTATTCATGAAGGCTTGGATATTTTTTAAAGACAACTTGAAGCTCTTTGGTGAACCATCCATCAAATTCCAATTTACACAATACTGAACCAGACCATCAGATGTCATGATTTTCCCCTGCAGGCGGCAGCTTCTCAAGGCTCCCCCAGGGTAAGGAGTCACAGCTACCTTTGTAGGAGGGAAAGGCAAACAGATTTGATAGGGAGGAAGCGTGTGTAGAGATGAACATTGCAGAGCACATTCTGAGGGGACAGTAGAGATGTGGTGACTTGTCCGCAACCGCCCAGTCTGTCTTGTTAGAGATACAGGGCCTGCAGCTATTAGGCACAGGGAGAGGGCCACACTCCAGGACACGCATTAACGCTGAAGGAAGAAACCCCTAGCGCACCCACGACCCCTGTGGACACAGAGACCATCAGGTAGTGTTTTTCAGAAAAAAATTAAAAAAAAAAAACTCTGTCGCATTTTATAACAATACATTCTTTAGAAGCAAGAGGTACTGTCACACCATCCTTTCTCTGTCCCTGGAAGATCAACAAACTGAAAGTAAAACCACAAGGAAAATCTTATTTACTGAGAATGCTCTCAGCTCTCTGGGATGCCGAGATCCTGGCTATGGCTGCTGCGCTGTCTGGTGGCCATGCCATGCACGTCCCCTGGGGAGCTGGCTGATCAGAGTCAGTATTTCATGATACTGGAAGCGGCAGATTCTGTATGTATTTGGGGAGAAGTGATAATGAGATTTAATGCTGATGTGAACGTTATATGGAGATTTACCTGTGCAAAGAAAATGTACAGGGTACATCGGTAAAGAGCTTACAGAGAAGGAGCTAGTGCTCACATTATCCCAGGAGCTGCACACCAGTGTCACCTTAATAACCGTGACTAGACTGTGGCAGGGCAACTCTAACTTGAGTTCATTGTACATAAACTTCAGAGTCAGTGCGGCAAAATGCGATCACACACGTGATTAGCAGCAAGGGCAGAGAAGTGATTTTCCTTAGGTTTTCTATACTTCCCCCCAGTTCAACACCTCATTTGCATCTGGATGATTCTGATCCTACATACAGTATAAGAACTCCATCTAAAGAGGGCTTGGATTCACTCACCAGGTTCAATCCTGCCACAAATAGGCCCTGCCCAGGCTGAGAATAGGAAAGGATGGAGAAACTTCTTGAATGTGTGGAGCCAAACAGTGCCAGCACTGAATGCCCTTGCGCTCTGCCCAGAGCTCCTGCTTCATGCCAAGCTGGACTCTGATCCTATCCCTGCAGTTGGAGGCCCTGTGGACACAGATAGGTGGTGTGCTGGGCAGAAGTAGTGGCACAGAGTTTAAAACCCACGCTGAGAGCTCAGGGCATCTTGGACCCAGAACGCACTGGCTGTGCCCATTGGGTCCTCCTCTGCCACCCTGTGGGGGAGGGGGCCCAGCATGGCTGAAGCACTAGTGGACATCTTATCTTCTGCTGGGTTCTCTGCACACTTCCAGAGCCTATTTCCCTTCCCTTCACCAGAATGACCCAGCATCTCACTCCCCGAAACACACATTTCCTGATAAATAAATAAATGCAACCCTCAAACATTTATTTGTGTATTTCCCTCTCTGCTTCAAAGACAAACCCCTTCTCTTCCAGCTGAAGACCCCTCAGTGTGGAGCAGAATGAAAACGGCTTTTAAATACCTGAGGCCTGGGTTCACAAGCTTTGTTACTGGTTGGCATCTGGAGTCTCTTGGCCTGTAGGTGAGGAAGCCCTAAAGCTGCCAGGCGTGGGGAGTGGTACACCCGCAGCCCGTGAGGACCCAGGTGCTCCAGGAGGCGCAGGTGGGGAGGGGCTCTGGGCGGTCCTGCCGACTGCTGACTGCTATTCTCAGCCCCCTCTCCCCAACATCCCCTCTCGGCGTGTTACTGGCACTTGATCTGAGATTCATAAATGCAAGTGTATGTGCATGTATATGTTTACATAGAAAGGTCAGCACACTGGAAAACACTATTATGTATACAGGAAAAAAAACTCAAAAACATTGTATTAGCAAAAAAAAAATGTGTCTTGGGGAAAAGGCAATAAAAATGATATCTTAACCATAGCTTTTGTTTTAAAAGTCCAGCAACACCCAATGCCATGGTTCCCACTGGCAGCCTGTCACTAGGCGCGGGGGCCGGGCCAGCCCCTGAAGGCACTCGCTCTCCTCCACGCTGCTGGACGGCTCCACCGCGGGGAGAGGCTTCCGGGGGAGAGAAAGGACAGAAATGGATGAAAATGAACTCTGAAACTGTGATCCACACAGACTTCAGGGCTGCAATGACCACGCGACACCTCATCCGGGGATGGAAACTGTGGTGCTGGGAACACACAGCAGTCAAATATATTGTGTTTCGACGAACAGAGCACCATGCAGCACCCAGGCACCGCCTTACACGCTCTTTGACACGTTGAGCTTGGTGAGCTCACTGGCTTCCTCCATCCCCATGTCTTCACAGTCACTTTTTTCTATGGCTTTGCCAAATCGACACCTTTCTTCAGCTTTGCTGGGCTCTTTCCAGGGCCTCCTGGAAGACAGGTGAGTGTCCTTGGCCTGTGAGTTGTTGTCAGAACCCAGAGATGTCTTATCCAAGTTCTGTACAGAAGGCACCAGGTTGGTGATCTCATCCGTGGGAGACCGTCCGATGCTGCCATCCACCTGGACTCGGATGTCTGGAGAGATGGACAGCTGGTGTTGGGGCACAACCCCACTGTCCATGCACTTGGGGTAAAGGTAGGTCTTCATCTGGCCTTTCCCCTTCACATTTACTGTCCCACGGTAGTCAAAGTCATAGCCCATCTTGCTCAGAGCGCGGTAGCTTTCTTCACTCACCTGGATGCGGCACTCTACCCCTGTAGTGTCCATCCTGCTGGCGATGTTGACAGTGTCTCCCCAGATGTCATACAGCAGCTTGGTGGTCCCAATGACCCCCGCGGTGAGTGGCCCATGGTTGAAGCCAACTCTGAGCTTGAAGTTGAACCACAGCATGTTGTTGTTGAAGTCATCCACCACACGCATCATCTCCTTGGCAAATTCAAACAGGATCTGCAGGTGCTCCTGCGGGTGGCTGCCATCCTGGCACTGGGTGGCATTTAGCCCTGACGCAGCCATGTACGTGGCCCCGATGGTCTTGATCTTCTCCACGCTGCTGTAATCTGGCTTGCCCAGGAGCTCATCGAAGTCCCCGATCAGCTCGTTCAGGACCCGGTAGCACTCCTTGCCTCCCTCGTAGTTCTCCTCGTAGAACTCACTGAAGTTGACAATGCTGGCAAAGATGACCCCCCCACTGTCGTGGTTCTTGGAGTAGGTTTGGGAAACCTTTAGCTGCTCGGCCACATGGTAGGGGATGATGTTTCTCAGCAGCCAGTCGGCTTGGTCCCTCATGCTCTGGATCTTGGTGCGGTGAAGGTCCGCCTCCACATCCCCATGGTAGTGGAGGCGGTAGCTGACTTCGAATTCTCTGTTCAGGAACCAGACCAACAGGAGCAGGAGAAAGAAGACAAGAATCACCTCCTGGCCAATCAAGCTGGCTGGCCTCCTGCTGTCCTGCGGCGAGGAGCTGTTGCACGGGTTCCTCCCTGAACTGGAGAGTAAAGACAAGAGATGCATCTTCTTAAATCACCTTTTAAGGGAAAAGTTACTGCTCAGTACTTCCAGGTCTGAAACAGCCCGGCTCGCACAAAGCGCTGTCGAGCACAAACCTTCAACAACCTGCGGCCACAAAGCAACTGAAGATGTGGAGAGATAAAGACTGACTTTTGTAACTGATTTCTTTAACAAGTGCTTTGTGATTGCTTTGCTTTTCAGAAGTCTTTATTAGCTCTTTGATTTTTAAAAAATCTTTTTTCCCAACTTTTTATTTTAAAACTCTCAATGTTATACAAAAGCTAAGAGAATAGTAAAACAAACATCCATACGTTCTTTTCCTGGATTCAACAATTTTTAACAAAGAAAACAAAGATCACTTGTGGTCTTAGCCAGCTAAACACAGGATTTGTAAACATTTTGGTGTATCTTAGTGCCATTTAAAGTCTGTGCCTAGGGATATGGGGATGGGAGGTCACTGGAGGGGACTGATAATTAAATGGGTAGTACGCTCACTCATAAAAATCCATTGAGTTGTTTTCTTATGATCTGGGTACTTTCCTGTGCATATGTTATATGCCAATAAAAGTTAACTCAAAAAAGCTGCTAAGTGTTTTGTTTTTAAATATTATAGTCATGATCATACATAGGAACCATTTGCTTACTTTTTCACAATGTCAAAGTGTCCATAGATATTTAATTTTTTGATTGTAGAAACAGAAAAAATAATCATATCACTCCTTCCTAAGTCCTATTATTTATCTTACCTTTTTTCATATATATAATGAAATACCTAGCTGTAGCTACAGGACATATGCAATTTCAAATAATAAACTAAAAACAAAAATCATAAATTTTTTCCATATTGCTTCATTTTAATGGCTGCAATATTTGAGTACATGTATCATAATTTAATTCATTTTTTTTTGTTGTTGACAACTGAAGTTGCTGATGAATTTTCAATATTACCAATCACTGTGATTGCTATTTTTGGGCAGGTTGCCTTTACCATATGCTGAATTATCTCATCATAGAAGCAAAAATAGAATTATTAGGTTAAAGGCTATGAACATTTTTATAGATTGTCAAATTACTTTCCAAAACTATTGTACCATTCTGAGGAGCAAATGAGGCATGGCAGGAAGAACATGGCCTGCGGGTGAGAAAGACCAGGGCCTAAGCACTGCCCTGGACGGGCTGTGTGACTACAGGCAGGCTCCTTGACTTCTCCCAGCTTCCCTTCCTCACCTGGAAAATGCAGACAAAGCCACCTAATGTGTCAGGTTACTGTGAGGGTTAAATAAACATATTTTATAAGCACCTGGGAAACAGATCAAACACCACCAGCCATTTGTGACAGTCAGATCCTTGCCTACACTGGGTATCTGCATGTTATAACTTATTGACAGTGTAATTTTAAAAGACCAGAAGTAATTTTGTAGTTATTTAAATGTACAGTTACTTTGGTAGTAACATATTTAGCTTCTACCTACATTCCCTCCTGTGGTTTTTTTTTTTTTTTGGTCCTTTATCTTGGAAGGTCTTAATTGGCTTTTTATGTAACTGTCCTACAAATATATTTTCTCATTCTGCTTTGATCCCCCCACCTGATAAATCTGTCAGTCTTTTATTTTTGTGTGTGTGTGTGAGCTATTTATTATTTGTAGAAGATTGGAAAGTTATTTCTTTCTTAAGAGGCTTGAAAACTATTCAGTTTTATTTTTCCTAGATTTTTATATAATTTTACATAATTTAGTTTTTGTTTTTGACCCTCCAATTTATTTGGAATTTACTTTGATGTTTGTAGTACAGTAAGGGTCTAACATTTATTATTTTAAGTTTCTAGTCAGTAATTTCAAAATATTACTTTGCTTCCCTTTGTAACATGCTAAAGTCTCATACAAAATTAAAGCAAATCTAATATATATCTTAATAATTTCATTTTCCCAGTAAGATATTATACCTATGATCTGATATTTCAATTAGTAAATACTTTCCACTTATTCTTTTAAGAATATATATATATATATAGTTGTTTTTAATTCAAGATACAACTGTTTTTAGGAAGCTTAGAAATAAGCAATAATGATACGCTACTTTCATTTATTCAGAAGTCGGCACAATGTTAGAAGCTTACCTGAAATTCTGTACTGCATCAGTGTGTGAAATTACTACAGAACTGAAATTAAAATGAGAAAAATTGTTATAAAAAGCAAAGAAGGCATTACATAAGGCAATCTAAGGAGAGTTTAAATAAACAATTTTCAATTTTCCTGTTTTATGTGGACATCAAGTTAGACAGTTAAGGACAGTTAATTTTTTATTATAATTTGACACTGTGTGTTAATTAAGAAAAATAAAAGGTGTAGACAATCATCCAGCTAAAAAGCCTCCACATCAGCTACGGAAAGTAGGCACAAGTTCCAAAGAGCAAAATTCGAGAGACAGGGTCTCTGAGGCATTCCATGTTACTGTCAGAACTTAGCCATGGCCATGGAGTCCTAATGGCTAGAAACATCGGTCATGATGAACAGCAATGTCTACTGACAAAGGATCAGCCTCCAAAGAACTGCTGGAGATGCTGGCAGGTTAGGGCTCACCAGAGAAGCCAGACTTCACTACTGGTGGGGCCAGAGCCATCAAATCCCAATTTCAGGGCATCGAAACCATACCTAAATAAGGAACTCTCTCTTGGTATTAGGGAAGGCACTTCTTGCAACATGCAGCCCAGCCTGTATCCTCTCCAGTCTTCACAGCTTCTCGGGGTGGGGGGGGTGTTATACCCCACATCTAACCAGGTCACCAAATCACCCTCAAATTTCCCCAGCCAGGGAGCCTAGTGCCCCAACACTCCTTGGCCTCTAGATTCAGCAGCCTCACTCATGGGAATGGAACAGGACCTGTGAGCAGCTCTCTCAGGCAGCAAAGGCCAGGCGAGGGCCCGGAGAGGCTTTTGTAATTTCAGGAGGTGTTAAATGACTTTACAGAAAAAGAAAGGCTTAAGTGCCGACAGGGTGGATAGACTCGAAGGACTTTGCGAGTATGGAGGCGCACTGGTGAAGGGGTGAGCCGACCGCCAGCCCTACGCCAACATCTGCTATTTGAATTTTGGGTAAAAAGGCAAGGGAGTGGTCCCTCAACACTTTGGCCCTCTAGGTCCAAATGGAAAACCCCCACACCAGTGACTGAATGACACTGTGAAGGGCCGATGTGGTATTTGTGATGATTCTAAAAGTGAGTATCATGCTCTTGGGAAAGAGCTTTATAATGACTGTAATTCCAGACGGCTGCACCTTTAGAAAGGAAAAAGTATGCTTTGTTTCACTTAAAGCAATTTAACTGTTCATTTAAGTTTCCTTTCAAATACAGAATGGCAGTTCTAGTTCAAATTCCCTTTTTGTTCTTAATTTGCAGAGAACTTGAACTTCTTTCATGTCATTATTATTTTATTAAATAAACTGAGGAAAAGCATACTTACTCTGTCCATTACTGACCACTGCTTTAGTAATACCCAAAGACATGCTATGGTGCTTTTATTTGACATTGCAATAAATTGGATCATTCTCTAATATTGAACTACTAAAGCAATGGTTTTCAGCAACAGTAATATCATTCTAGTGGGCATTTTGGAAACACTGGAGGTCCCTCTGGTTGTCATAATAATTTGGGGAGCCAGGAATGTTAGATGTCCTACAAAGCACAATAAAGAAATGTGCCACTTAATTCTGAAATATCCTGTTAGCCTAAACCCATTATAATTCTAAATAAGTGTTTCTTCAGTATGTGCTAAAGGAAAATGTTTTTTGTAAGCAGTTACACAGAAATCCAGTATTTAGGAGAAGTTTGTTACAGACTCTAAGACATTGTCCGGAAATTTCTGAATAAATTACTATGTGCATTCTGCAGTCTAAGGTATCATTGTATTTCCAACTACATATTTAGTTGAAAAAGGTTAGAGGCCATTATACCAGCTGTAAATGTGCAAAAGGCAATTTGAGACCCATTTGTAACAAACAGCACTAAACACCACTCAATTAGTAGAATATGTAAAAGATAGGGATCTTAATGGATTTCATTAATATCGAATGCATCAAATACAGCACACATCATTGCCATCCTGTACTTTTTCTATTTTTGTAGCACACGGTTAAGAACCCCAGGGGTCTTGCACACGGCTCCTGTTTCTTTTCCTGCACCCTCCTCTCTATTCCTGGGCATGTATCAGTGAGGGTATAGTCATCTGAGTACCTGGGGTATGTGGTATGTGCAGGGATTTCAAGATAAAAGGTATATTTCCAGTGGTTCATCATTACTTCAATGTTTTGTGTCATGTTACAATATTGGGTCAATATTTGTGAGGTCCAGGTCACTTGTAAGAGCATCATGTCCGTTCATTTCCTTTAACTCTCTCTTAGTACATCAACCTGACTTCAAGGGAGGTTAGACTCAGCTTCATCTTCTCATTTTTGTACCTCCCTACACCTCTAATCCTTTATTTTCTTGATTGTCTTGTATGAAACAGCTCCTGGCTCTACTTTCTTACATTTAAACTTCTTCATTATAAGTAAGTTCAAGCATGAAACTACTGCATAATGTCCTGAGGCCAGCGGGGGGGAGAGGGGCGGTCACCCCAGGATGTCTATATGCAAACACATTATTAAAATTATTTTTTTCTTTCTTTTGCATATTACTCTGTGGGTATGTCATTAATCTGTTGACATTATGTATGTTGAAAACTCTTTCATGTCTGACAGTGAAGTCTGTTAGAATGGAGGGTGTGGGCTCTGATGTGAACATGGAGCTTAAGAGATGCAAGCAATGTGGGGAGAGGGGGCCCTGCCATCGAGGGCACCACGCACAGACCATGGGGGTGTACATACCTATCTGGGCACAAAGAGATGTACAACAGGAGCAGGGGCCCAGCCCCAACAATGGTGGCTAAGGAGGACCTCATCCAGGAGCTGAGCTGGCAGAAGTTACAGTAGTGCACAACGGCGACCAGGACAGCTGAGCCCGTGAACACGGTGAACTGCAACGAGGGGCAGGTGCTTAGTTAGAACCACACCCGTTCTCCTCCCCTTGTGGCTCACTCGCCTCTCCTCTACCTGAGCATCCTGAGATCAAATGATTCACTCCCTTACTGTTTGTCTTGTTTAATATAAAAATATCTTGGATATCACAAAAGACCCAGCAGTTTCAAGGACAGATTATAAATCATTAGGTTAATTGCCCAGGGCTTTAGGTTACAAGTTCGCATTGGTACTAAAATTCTTCTCCAGATGTGTGGCAATGGCACACATTATTGAGGATAAGGAAGGTAGGCTGCCTGTTTGAGAACTAACACTGTGTAATCAGCTACCTTTAGAAATCCTCTCCCTTAGGTGCCCTGCTGTGTGTCAGCAGAAATGTGATTTGGTGCTAAAGTATCAAATGCAGCCAACCTGTCCTGGTAGCTCTTGTTACACTCACTCTTTCCCAAAACGTAACCTTCCAAACAGCATTAATTCACTCTCCATGGGGTTTAACGAAGAAGTGCCTTTCCTGATCAAGAGCGCCCAATCCAGGTGCTAGCCAGTCATCTGTGCCGGCTCTGCAGGATAGCACATTACCTTGTATTCGTTGGGAATGTGGGACAGATGCTCCTTTGTAAAAACACCTATGGAGGTAACTGATTTGGAGCTTGGTGAACACCAAGGGAGGTTGGACAGGACACCTGTCCATTGGGGAATCTCCCGAGGCAGGTGTGGACCATGCCCATGAATGTGGTCAGTGGCAGGCTTGAGCAGCGAGATAGGGCTGCATGCTTGCTCCCCTGCCTGCTCCTCAGTCCAAGCCTTCAAAAAGACAAGTTCAGTGAAAGTTTCTGTGATATGACTGCCCTTGCACTGTTCACCATGTAAGAACTTATTCACTATGTAAGAACTTGTTCACCATGTAAGAACTTGTTCGTTAGGCTTCAGAAGATCAGAGACTGACGAGAATTAGGCTTGGGGTTGATTAATGATTATGCATTGAGTCCCCTATGCAGAATTTTATTGTTGTTAACAACCATTCGATCAATAAATATGAGAGATGGCCTCTCAAAAAAAAAAAAAAAAGACAAGTTCAAGGTAGTGACAAAGAGTTTGTACCTCTTTAAGGGCCTATATTTAAATCGCTGACCCTTGTCATCGGGCTTAATTTTTTTTTAAGTGATGAGGGAGTTTAGAGGAATGCAGACACAAAATAGCCAAGACTTTACTTACATGTATGTTCGTCTCAAATTCGGAGGTGACATGTGAATAGACGGCGACAGCGGGGAGTGACACGAGGATGGCGCCGATGAAGTGGCGCGGGAGCCAGCCAGCTATCCATTCCAGCAGGAGCTTGGTGCAAGCCACCACATCCTCCAGGAAAAACACCATCCTGTGCCGGGGACGGGGAGGGCGGAGACACGGGGTGTCTATGCGGACGGGGACCCACAGAGGGCGCCCCTCCCAGCTTCTGCTGCCAGCATGGGAGGAAGGCAGACCCCGCCCCCCTCACTCCCAGGACGCAGCAAATCAGCTGGACCCGCTCAGCACACCATGCCTTATTTTAAGGTCCCTTGTTGCATTCTGGTAAGATGTGCTCAGAGAGACCCAAGTATAAGCTTCTGTGGGACTGAGCAGAGCATTTAAGAACCGGGCACACAAATATGAACAGGCCCTGTGATAGGTCACCACCTTGTCACCTGTTTCAGTGGCAAGAGGTCCTGAGTGGGTTCTGGTGCCACAATGGCAGAGGGCGCTATGGCATCTAGTGGGTAGGAGTACAGAGGGAGGCTCTGCCCTGGGCCCTGCATAACTGTCCTGTGCCCTTGGACACCTGAGGGGAAGACCCTGCTGACAGTGACCTTAGCCAGAGCCTAGACGTGTTTCATTTACAAACAGAAAGTGGTTTTTGCGTGGTATTAACATACACAGAATTTTCCAGGATGAGCTACGTTCTTGGTATAGACCAAGAAAGGCCAGGCTTTGTTCTGTCTGGGACACCACCAAGGGTCTGGCATCTCAGGAAGTGTGGTGCTTGCACTGTCACACCTGGACGTCCCTAAGGATTACATGGGGCTGTCACATGGATCGAGCAGATGGCCCATGACTTCATATGACCTCCCAGGCAGCAGGGCCCAGGCATATCCGAGGTGAAGCACCACGTTTCATTTGAATCGGCTTTCTTGTTGTTTCTACTTCATACTGGAATGACAGCATTTCATGGATTCCTTCTAAAATTATATTTATAGCAGGCTACATTTCAGGGCGGTGATGTGGACATCATCAAGTATTTGTCATAAAGACAGGAGAGCTGAGAGTGTGGGGCTGAGAATTGCTGTTCTGGAGGAAGAACAGGTCTTGGCTAAGTGAAGGATGGGGAGGGAGTGCCTGCAGTGGGGGTGGAAGAGAGGGTGCCTGGGTCCAAATCGGAGGAAGGGGGAGACCCACAAACTGAAGCCAGCCCTGGGGCGGCAGGGGGGCGGCAGGAGAGGGGAAAGGCCTGCTGTTCTCGCATCTGGCAGGGCCTGGAGCCGCTGCTGAGCTTTGACACAAAACGCTGTCAGGGCCTCTCCCAAACTGGGTGCCCATGCCTTCAGTCCTGCATGTCCGCAGTGCAATGAGCACTCTGGCTGAGCTTGGCCTCCACCAAGAAACCCCAAATCTCGGCCATCTCCCACACAGAGCCAGGCCCCATCTGACCCTTTTAGATCCTGGATGGTTCTGGCCTCCTAATACTTAAACGATAATGGAGTCCTTGGAATATTTCCAAGAAAAACCACAAATATGCTCTAAAGCAGAATACGTAAGCCCTACAAGGAGACAGAGGGAGTTGAGTCCCAGCAGGGAGAAGGCAGGACTGAGAGACCCTCCACGCAGGTCCCTCGGACTGCAAAGCTCATGGCACCTCAGGAGCAGCACAGAATGCTGGAGTGGGGGATGGTCCCTGAGCCCAGATGCCGAGATGAGGGCGGCCTTCTGGATGAGGTGCCAGGCTGGGGCTGGCCGCTGAAACCGCTGCAGACTAGCCTCCCTGGAACACCTACATTCCAGTGCAGGTTCTTGTTCTTGTAATCTGGAATCCTAGATAAGTCCCTGGCTGGGCAGGAGGAAATTCTTCAAGGTCCTGACCTCTCCCAGGCTTCGATGTCCCACATCAAGTGACCTTTTAAAGTCATGCCAGAAGTCATTCAGGAGCACCATGGCCAACCTCCTTCAGAAGGTGCTCACAGAACGTGTGGGTGTGACTGGCCCTGCACCACTGGCCCTGCCTCTGTGACCTCTGCAGTCTCTAAACCTGGGTTAGCCCAGATTCTATAGAGCTGGGTCCAAAGGAGCAGGAAACGATGGTGTAAAGGGTTTTTAAAGATGTATGAAGACAACACTAGCCTCAGAGAGGACAAGAGCCTTATCTAGCTGCAGGCCCGATCAGACAGAAGCCCAGGGCTGGGCCTGGCGGGGTGGGGGAAGGCGTGCAGTGCTGGGACATGAGGGGAGAGACTGCAGGTAGGTGCCAGGTTCTCTTTGGGGAGATAGGAATGTTCTAAGACTACATGGTAATACTGGCACAACTCTGTAAGTTGACTAAGAATCCTAGAACTAAAATGATTTCACTCATCTGTGGCGTATAACAGCAAAGCAAAAATTGAAGGAACAAAAAATCAGCAAACTCACAGAACCCAAGAATGGACTAACAGTTACCAAAGGGAAAGGGACTGGGGGGCGTGGGTGGGAAGGGAGGGAGAAGGGGGATAAGGGGCATTATGATTAGCACACATAACGTGGGGGGCACGGGGAAGGCAGCACAGAACAGAGAAGACAAGTAGTGACGTTACGTTATAGCATCTTACTACACTGATGGACAGTGACTGTAATGGGGTGTGTGGTGGGGACTTGATGATGGGGGGAAGCTAGTAACGACAATGTTGCTTATGTAATTGTACATTAATGATAGCAAAAAAAAAAGAATCCTAGAATTACACACTTATACGAGTGTATTTATTGTATAAATCATTTCACCATAAAGCTAATTTTAAAAATGAAAAACAAACCAGGGGCCTGAGAATGTCTTGATTTGGGTTCCCCAGGAGCAGAGCTGCTTTGGGAGTCCAAGGCTGGGAAGGGCAGGGGTCATGGAGGGAGGACCCAACCTTGGGGTGCCAGGAGGCAGACAGTGCAGGTGGTCTGTGAGCACATGCACGGGGCAAACCGCGCGCCCTCGTTAGAAATGCAGAGCAGCATGGGCTCTTTCGGTGCTGCACGAGCCTGACACCAGGCTGGGTGGGTCCTGAGGGCCCAGCTTCCCTGAGGGACTCTGCTGTCTATTCAGACTGTCCATTTTCAAATGGGTTGTCGTTTTGTTACCGAGCTTACACTCCAGACATTAGACCTTGTCAAAGATGCAAATGGGCACATGTTCTCTCCCGTCCTGTGGTCTCTTTCACTTCGGTGTAAAAAAAAAAAGTGACTGTGTGGTTCTTTGGAACATAAAGGTTTTACATTCTGATGAAGTCCAGATGGCCTGTGACTTCTTTGATTGCTTGTGCCTTTCAGGTCGTATCTAAGAAACCGCTGCCAGGACCCAGCTCATGAGGTCCTTCACCTGTGTCCTCTACTGTGGGTTTTATAGTTTTGCTCTGATATCTAGAGACGCACCTGCTGATCAGCTGATGTGTAGCCCCTTACACATTTCTTTCTCTTTCCTTTCTTCCCACTTATTTTTAAGCCTCTGATGTGGGAGATCCAGAAACTAGGTGGCAGCACTGGGGCTGCAGAGGACACCAACCCTCCAGTAAAGACAGTGCCGCTCTGTGCCAAGGGCCAGGGTCTTTGAGGTAGGATGCTGTGGAGCAGTTCTGGGGGAGGGAAGGAAAGAGGCCCCTCACCCAGAATGAGCTTACAGGGTCAGTGGTCAGTAGTGCTGCAGTAAGACTGCTCAGACATAAACTCGAGCCAGCAGAGGGAGCTAAAGGCTAAAAGCTGGGGACCCGCCCTGCAGGTGGGCCTTTACCTACCTGACAGAGACCACAAGGGACAGCACTTCGAGCAGGAGGGCTGCAGCAAAGACAGCCAGGGCTGCGGGCGGGGGAGGTGCGGTGGCAGCCCCATACTTCAGGAAGCAGGTGATGGAGAGAATCAGAAACACTACTGTTGATAGAAACACATCCAGGAGGGAGCTGAAGGTGGCACTGGCGAAAGTCTGCACGGGGGAATTCCTTATCACCTGTTTGGGGCAGGAACGGAACGTGAAGAGAAGCTGTGACAGGTGGCCACAGAGTGGAATTCAGATGGAAAATGAGTGAGTGTCTATTGAGCGCTTGCCCACTCCAGACCGGTCAGGGTGGTAAGTGCTTCAGGGGGCCACCTCCCTATTTTCCCATTTTACAGTGAGGAGGCTTGGGCACAGAGAAGTTAAGGCACTTGCCCAAGGTCATACAGCAAGCAGTTACAAACCAGGAAGCTCTCACAGGCAGGTTAGGTACAGAGACTGAAAAGGTGAATTAAGGTCTGGCAGAGTCAGTGACAGCATTTGGAGTCAGTCGCCTGAAAGCCATGTGCTGGAAGCTTCCACCAAATGGTTGGGTACCAGGTCAGGGTATAGTAAAATTGGGTTCATGACAGAAGTACAGGCAGGGATTGAAGCGGCAGCAGATGAAATCACAGGCATGTCAACTGCTAGTAAGAGATGCTCACGCCTTCCCTCAAGAGCCTGCTCTGGTCCCGGCCCATTGGAGTGTGGGGCGCAGGCATGAGACAATGCCCAAGAGGAATCCAGTCTAATGGGCAGGGATCTCAAATGGCACATGCTGTGGTAAGTAAAGCAAAGAGACAAACACATGGTATTCAGGAATCATGTGGAAGAAGGGGGAAAATGACGCTAAGTCTGAGAGAGGACTGGGTCCTGGTACCATGTAGACCCACTAGGGGCAAGACCTCAATCAGTGCTCACATGGCCCCCAGGAAAGGAAATGCCACCAATCTTGGTGCACACTGGAGGCCAAGGAGAGTTAGCTGCCCAAGGTCACACAGCTAACGTGGAACCCGGCTAGGACCCAACCCCAGTGCACCCCATCCACCATCCTGGGCTGATGGTGGTGGCAAGGGGGTGCCTGTCGAGATAACAGAGCAGGAGCTAACAGCAAGGGTGAGGTGGGAGGAAACAGAGATTCAGACAATTTACGTTGCTTTCCTTTTGGCGTTGCAAGCTTCTGACAAGCCCCCCAAGAGGCACCTGGTGGACTCGGAAAGCTAGGTACGTGAGCCAGAGCTCATGGTAAGGCCCCTGACCAGCTTCTTGTTCCTGTGTGTGTTCCTTTCAGGATAAACTTGTTGGGGGCCCTCAGGAATATCCCAGGTCCCGGGAGCTGGGAGAGGGGACAGAAGGGCTTAAACAAGGAGGACGGAAGCCATCAGTCAGTACAACGCTGCTCCTGGGGTCCAGGTACAGGCCACAGCCACCTGGGAGCAGCATTTGGTTCCAAATTACCTCCTATAATCACAAGAAACTCTGAGGTTCTATAGGTAGGTGTACATGTGTCCCGAAGGGTCAGTCTTGTCCTAACCTCTGAAACTCCCTCAAAAGGCATGAGAATTTTGGAGGAGATGCTGTGACCCTGACCCATCTCCACAGAGGCTCGTCTGGCTGAGGGCAGCCTCGGCCCAGTGCAGGCACTTCTGGTCTCTTGTGGTGGCCCAGAGCTCCGGGGCACAGCCAGGGCTCACCTGCAGTTTACATGTCGGGCAGAGGGAGCCAGGGGCCTGCTGCCAGGCTCCAGCAGGGACCCCATTCCCAGCCCGGCAGCACTGCTGCAGCATGGGCCCCTCATCTGACCCCTACTCCAAGGGTTCCTGACTTCCCCAATTCTTGCCCTGAGGGTGCTGAGGCCCACACCCACTGCTTCAGGTGTTTGATAACTATCCTCTGTTGCAATAGCTGATGACGCAGGATTTCGTATACAACCAAAGAGGACTTGTGAAAGGGCTCCTGTCCCCAGCAGGAGCTCTCAGGGCACCAAGACACGGAGCATGGGAGCTGGGCGCCTGGGGATGTCGTATCTGACACCCGACCAGGGACGAGGCCAGAGCTTCAGACCACCAGCTGGGGTCTCTTCATGAGTCAGGACTGAGACAGCCTTGCTGCCCTGGTCAGCCTCGTGTCCCATGTGACCTCGCTTACTTGCTGACATGTGTCCCACAGTGCTTTCTACCTTGGCCACTGTCCTTCCTGTGAACATCTCCCACCTTCCAGATCAGACGGGCTCGGTCCAGTCTACACCCTACTTGGACCTGCACCGACTCCCCCTAGGCACACTGCCCACCTGGGACACTGGGACTCTGGGACCCGAGGTCCCTCCTGCTGCTCCTTCCACTCCATTGTCTCCACTTGCTGTGTGGCTTCGTGGGGGTGCCTGCCCTCAACCTCTTTTCTTCTCCCTGGCCCTTATCTCCCGGGCAGCCCCACTGACCTTATGCTACACTCCCCAGCCCCACTCCAGCCCAAGCTGCACATCACTTTAGCGCTGCTGTCTGTTCATGTCCAAACAGGTACCATCCCTGTGGGTATGAGACCCAGAGAACACGCCACCCCTACTAGGGTACCCCAGGCCACCCTCCATCCCCCTTACCACTCAGATTCACATCCAATTTGGCCCCAAGTGCTGCTGATTTGAGCCCTGGAGGCAGCAGAGCCTCGTGGTCAGAGCACAGGCCCTGCAGTAGGGCTGCGTGGCCTCAAAGCCCATCCCCCACTGTTAGCTGTGACATCTTGAGTGCATCACCTAGGTTCTCCATGCCTCTGTTACCTTATCTAAACAGATAAAATCAGTACCTGGACCTCACATGGTGGTAATGCTCAGACAGGAGACCACTGAGCCTGGTGAGGGCCAAACACCAGGGCTGGCTTGGAGCCCCCATCACTCATGCACTTGCTGTCCTCTCCACCTGCCCGAGCCGCTGGGCCTCACACCGTGAGTGTCCCACCTGCTCCCCTCCTGTCTGTCCAAAATCATCACAGTCCACAACTCAGCCACCTGGACAGCATACAACACAATCTGAGGGTGCCCCCTCTTGTTTGGGGTCCTTCAGTGGCTTTCTCCAGCCTTCAGCATAACATCGACAGCATGAGGGCCACTAATCCGGCCCCTGCCTACCTCCTGGCACTTCACCCCTGCATGCCCAGCGAAGTGCCTGCAAGTCCCAGGATACACCACACTGTGTTGTCTCAGGGTGTTGGGTGCTCCCTCTTTCTGGAATGCTCATTCAGTTAATTGCTAGTCGTCCCACTAACATGGGCTGAGAAGCTACCTCCTCCTGGCCCTCAGCCTGGGGTGGGGTGTTTCACTGTGTGCCCATGGAGCATTATGGGGCCTCATGGGTCTGAGTCACTGACCCCCATTAGAGTGTGTTTCATCATCCCGGCGCCGTGAACAGTCTGGGCAGTGCAGATGCTCAGTAAACGTCTGGTGATGGAGGAACAGCTGAGAGCCGCACCCTCTGCGTCCGGGGGCTCAGCAGCTCAGCAGAGGGAATGGCAGAGAGCACCTGGCCTTGAATCAGATGCACACAATTCCAGCAACAGGATCTCAGGAACTCAGTCTTTCCTGGCCTTGGCTTTTTCTCTGGTAAAATGGGGATTATTGTAAGCTTCCCTAAAGGGTTGCTGTGAGGATTAAATGAGGTGTTGTTTTGCCTTACAAGCCACGGACCAGGCCACCCCCAGTCGACTAGAGGACTGCCTGGGAAGGGAACTGGTACCTACAGTCCCTAGAAGGCTGATAAAAGGTGGCACTTCAAGCCCATGAGGTATTAACAGGCTGTGTCTGGTTCAGGAGGGTCTCTCTAAGCCCTAGGTCAGGGCGTGACATAACAGAGGCTGATGAATGAATGAGCTTGAAAAGAAAAATCCTTTTGGCTCTGAGGCTGGGAGGGTGTTCATTTGTGACCTTGGAACACTGAGAGGTTAGATTTGGGCCCAGAGAGAAGCATTGCAGGGATCTAGCTGCTTATAATGCAGACCAGGCTGCAGTGTTTGTATTTATTCATCATTTCCACCAAGCTCTCCTTGTGGGGTGGCAACTGTGCTGAGTGAATAGGGAACAAGAGGCACAGGTCTGTCCCCCAGGACTGAGTTCAGGGGAGAGGCGCATGATTTAGTAATCACGCAAGAAAAGGTCACAAAGTGGGAGGCATGCTGAGAAGACAATGTATAACAGGGAAATACATTCCAGTCTGGGATCAGGGGACGCTTCCTAAAGGAAATGACATTTGGACTGAGCATTAAAGGACAACAGGAGCTAAGGCATGGAAGGGGCTGTAGCTCTAAAGCAAGTGGGAACACAGGGGAAGGTGAAAGGCCTCTTGAGCTCCCTGTCCCACCTAGTGGGGACAAGCAGAGAAGTCTTACGGGAGAACAAAAAACAGGTATGGCTGCAGCTCACTCTGTGCTGGGCCTCCAGGCATTGAGCATGGTCAGGTGCCTGAGAATGCACCAGCTGTAGACCAAAGGGGCCAGGAAATGACTAGCCTGGGTTGTCAGAAGAAAGATCTGGGTTTCTTTCCCTTGTGCAGATAAATTCACATACAGATGCAATTTGGGGCTTACAGATTACAGATAATCAATATTAGCTTCCATTTTCCTATCACTCAGGGGGAAAAAAAGGCCTCCAAAGCACAAACCTACTAGTGAACTGCCCAGAGAAAATGACAAATTACTTTTGGTAAAAATATAAGTAAAAACATACCTCTTCTTGATAGCTGGTCCTATAGGTTCGCTCTAACTCCTGAGCCAGGAAGTTCAGGCTGAACTGATTAATGGGTGGCTTAAAAAAATAATCTTTCATCAGGCTAGAAGAGATGATAAATGCACTTGATCAACATTCAGCACAATCATTGTATTTATTTTATCAGAAGACTGCAATTAGCTACTGAAACACCATTCATTAAGCATGTCACAAAAGCCACTTCTAAAAGTCACTGTGTCAGACATTCTCAGCTGCCCTTTTCGAACATATCTCTGGAAAATCCTTTATATTTCTAAACACAATCACATTTTATGTTGCACCTCAAGAATCACCATTCAGCATAATTACAGCACACATCATTAGCATCCTGCTTTTGAAAATATCTTCCTAATATCCACGGTTAGAAGACGACAGGTTTTTTTTGTTCTGTGAAAACAATCTCTCCTGAAGGACCAGCAGATCCCTGTACTGAGAGTACTTATGTTGATTTGGTGGCTTCCAGGGATGACAATTCAGAGCTGGCTGTCCTGTCATTCAGAGTACTGACAGTAATTATCATTGTCAAAGCTAACAGGTTGTTAGCACAAACTTGTGTTATACTTAGTGTAATTGTGGTGCTTTTGTCACATATGCAGATTATGTGTGAAACCTGAAAAATGATAAAGCTCAATGATATTAATAGCAGAGAAATCAAACCTGATTTACATGACACTTCCATTCTTTTATGGATTGCTAGCAAATAGTAGTATCCTTTTTTACTGCAGAAAATTACTATGAATTTAAGGGAATGTTAACATGACTTCAGATGGCAAACATAGCCGTGAAGTGTAGTCTCTCTTCCTCATACAATAATACCTCGAGTTAAATCAGATAAAATAGGTCAAGTACCTGGCATGTGTCTGACACATAGTAGGGTTTACTATATGTACACTTTATGTACTGTTTGTACATTATATGTACTATATGCTCGCTTCTTTGCATCAGAGTAGACTCTCTTTGGGATAAGTATATAATACCTTACTATGCACTCAGACTCAGAAGAAAGAAGAGCCTGCCCCGTAACGCTGACCTGACCCTCACTGCCCCTTCCCCTCAGGAAGTGTGGACAGATGGAAAAGCAACAAAGTGGCTGTAAGGAGGATGTGCAGTGGCCACATTTTAGCAGTCAAGTGGCAGAATCCACACTGCTCGAAGGTGCACGGTCCCTCTGAGATGAACACTGGAGGCTCCACTTCTGGGAATAGAGAGCAGCCCCTTCTGGACCAATTCTCTCTGATTATAGCAATAAACTCTGGACAAGATATAAAAATTCCTGGAAGACGGTGGTTAAAAAAACACTAGAGATGGACCAAAGCAGGTAATAAATGGAGGAGAGTCACACTAGGAAGGAGGGAACAGCACCAGTTGAACTTCCATTTTTTTCCTTTTTCTTTTTCACCTGAAGACAACCATTAGTCAGCACCATGTGCAGGATGACTAAAACTCAGATAGAAAAGCCACAGTCTTACTGGCTTGGAAAACCAGAAAATAGAGTTTGGGGTACCAACAGATGGAAAATTAGATTGGACCTGCCAGAGAAAGGGAGGATCAGAGAAGCTGTGCCCCAAATTTCGCATTTAAGCTCTGCTCAAATCTTTGGTTGACCTCTGGCATATGCATGTGCACAGCAGACTCCAAGCAGCCTAATTAAGGCAAAGAACAGTGGCTGCCCACAGAATTTGGTGTTTGAGTTTAGATAAATTAACTGCCTGCTGAAACTAATATGAAATTGACACTCTTCAGAGGAATATAAAAGAATACAGAGTTTATAAGCATCATGCAGTGTGTACAACACAATCCAAAATTACTAGACATACAAAGAAAAGGAAAACAGGATCCAACCCAACAGAAAAACCAATCAATGGAGACCAACCTGAGATTACCAAGAGGGTGGCATTAGTGGTCAGAGTGTACAACGTCAGTAGATACATTACATTGGGACCACTGTAGCATAATGAATGAGATGAAAGAATGGACCTCTATACCTGTAAGATTTTGACATTAAAAGAAAACTGGTACAATTCTTTTAGAGATCAACTCTAAGAAGACTACAGAAATTTAAGTATGCCTATTTGTAAGTCCTAGAGCAGTCAATAAAAGGAAAATAATGTGAATAGTTATGGCTAAAAAGCTAATAAATATATTAAAATGGAATTAAAAGGCAAAGATGTTTAGAATGATTAAAAAAGCAATACTCAGAATAGATGGCACTTCAAAGATAAAGACACAGGTAGAAATATATTTTAAAATGAAAAATGATATACCAGGCAAACATAAGAATAAGAAGGGCAGAGTGACTATATTAATATCAGATAAAGCAGTCTTGCAGACAAAGAGGATCTTTCTAGAGATGAAGGGGGACTTTTCAAAATGACAAAGAACCAAATCACCAGGAATATGTAATACTTACAAATGTGTACATACCTAAAAAAGAGCTTCAAAATGCTTGAAACAATTATCAGAACTAAAGAGAGACACAAATCATTCCACAATCATAGTTGGAGATTTTAACACTTTCTCTCAACATTGGTAGAATAACAGACAAAGAAGTAAGTAAAGAGACAGATGATCTGAACAATACTGCCACCCACCTGGACCTAACTGATGTTTATGGATCACAATATCCTAAAAATGTGGAATATACATTCTTTTCAAGTGCACATGGTATTTCACCAAAACAAACCATAAAGGTAAGGCCATAAATAAGTATCAATAAATGTAAAAGGGCTGAAATCCCATAGAATGTGTCTTTGACTCCAATGACATTAGATCAGACATTAATAACTAACATACCTAAATATTATTCTTCACTAAAAGGAGCCAAGGTTCTTTGGAGAAATGGCTGATTCCTGAGCTGGGGCAGGGAAAATAGAAAATGAGCCTGGAACACTCTGTTGTACTAGAACAGAATGTAAAAAATTGCTCAGAAAAAACAATGGAGTCACTTCAGAAAGACACAGGACCCAGCCTGAAGGCTCCCATTGTCCAGATTCAGGACAACTGGAGCATCAGACTATAATGAGAGCAGTGATGACTTATGTCCTGTTAAATAAAACAGGACTTCATGAGTCCAGGTTGGTAACAGATGAAGTCATAAGTGGGAAGAGGCTGTTCTTTACAGACAAATGCCAAGTGCCAAATAAAAACATGCAGTTGTGCTCAAGCAGGAAAATCACCACTTTGAACCATCATGACAAAGACTGTTTTAGGCAAGAACCATCAATGGAGAGTAAATCTAGCGAAGTCTGATGAGTAACGTTTACTTACATGATCTTAAGTGTCTTCCCACAGACTCCTTATTAGTCACAAGGAGCAAACAATAACTATAGGTTGGAGACATCGGCAACACTTGCCTGGTTGATCAAAATTACTATCACTGATGAAGGACAAATGGGCACCTTGTGCCTCTGTATATGACACCTGAGAAGGACACATTATTTCTGTGTATCTGGCCAGAGCTGCATAGCCTGGATGTAATAATGAGAAAACATCATGCTAATCCAACTTCAGGAATATTTTATAAAAGAACAAGGTCTGCATTTAAAAAATGTATCAGTATCATATAAAGAACAGATGAAGAACTATCCCAGATTTAAAAAGACTAAAGAGGCATGAAAAACAGCTAATGCAATACACAGTCCTGGACTGCACCCTATACTAAGGGACGCGCTATTGAGGACATATCAAACCAACTGACAGAACTGGAAAATGATTAGAGAAAATATTGTATCAATGTTACATTTCCTGCATTTGGAAACATAATTGTGTTAAAAAAATCCTTCTTTTTAGGAAATATAGTGTTAAAGGGTAAAGAGCATGATGTATCCAACTTACTGTCAAATGGTTCAGAAAAAAATAAAAGGTAAGTTTCAGATAGGAACAGAGAGAGGAGAATAAAGCAAACATAGAACAGAGTAAAATGTTACATGCTGGTAAACTGGGAAAAACGTATAAAAGGGAATTCTTTGTATTATTATTCATGCAACTTTTCTGTAAGTTTCAAATTAGTTCAAAACCAAGTTCTAACTGACATTGGAAAGTACTGACTAATTCAGGGAAAGGTAAATCTGCCTGCTTGCAAATCTTTCCTTCCAATGCGAGATGTAGTGCTCTTACCTGTCTTCTTTGATAACATCCACAAAATGGGCGTCTGTTTTCTCCCGGATGTTCTTGAATCTCAGTGGAAGGAGAGCTGACTGGTCCAAGCTCACACCTGCCCACCTTCCCTTTTCCTGTAGGATCTCACACAGGGACGTCTGACTGTTGGTGAGCTTCTCCTCTTGGGGAGGACTCAGGAGTCCGTTTTGGGTTTTGGAATTAGGCTCTCCAGAATTCTGCCCATGACAAGGGGGAAGCAGACACAGAGGTGAAGTGTGGGTGTGTGACAGCGCTATTCCACCTTGACCCCTCTGCCACACTGCAGTCCCACAGTGCACAGCACGTTTTGACCTGTACCTTCAAATCTTGGTTCTAATCTGAATGCTCCATCTCTCCACTCATCTGCTTCTCCCCATGCCCCTATTTTGTCAAATTGCACCTAGATGGGTTCAGGCAGCCAGGAAGGTGACATGGTGGGGAAAATGAGTGAGGAGGTGAAGAGAAGGCCAAGGGAAGAGTTAAGGCTCTTGGAGTTTGCTAACCACAGAATCTGCATTCCAGAGGGAATGGTTTGGAGGTAGGGGGAGGTGTGACAATGGATCTGGGGAAGGACACCCAGTGCCATACAATGTGGCTTAATAGAAGGGATGACGGCTATGAACGACATGGGCTGAGCACAAGTCCATTGGCAGATGGCACACTCAGGTTTCTTTGGAGAGTCAGCCTTTATAATAAGCTTTCCTGAAAGGGCTCCCAGGTTTGGTCTGTCTTCTGCTTTCCACTCCAGTCTGGGCTTCTCTAAGGAGACTTCCCCTGCAGTCTCCTCACTGCAGGGCCTGTCTTCAGGATGCATCTCATCCTGAAAAATTCCCCTTTCCCTTTGCCCAAGCACATTCTGCCCTGTGCGGAGGCCAGCGCCTAGCCCACAAATCTTCCCCTAACTTCTCTAATTCACATGTCTTTAAACTCTTATGGCCCACCCAGCTTAGCATGTGCTTATTCTATTCACACAGGTTAGTCCTGACTCCCATCCCCTCTTTATTGGTCTATTCAAAACCTGAAGGACGAGAAGGTATGGCATGGTGTCACTGAAGAGGAGTTGTTCTCAGAGCTGAGGAGTGATAAGACAGAAATGCCACCCAGGTGGATGCACCAGGGGAGGAACCACCAGGAACAACAGCCAAGAACTTGTTACCTTGGTGCTGTTTCTATGCTCCTCTTGACAGCCATTTTGAACTGCTCCTCCTTCTGCACCAGCTTCCGATTTGGGAGCAAATGTGATTCCACATGAAGGGCAGGTCTACAAGAAAAACACAGTCCATAGGAACATGCCCAGAAAACATGACCTGATACATACCTAACCAAGTCCACTGCTGTTTCAACTGGATATCACACATAATGGCTGTGACCAAATGGAAGGCTTACTGAACCACACAAGGGGAAGTTAAAAACAAATTGGGAAAATGCAAATGGAAACACGTCCACACACAGACCTGCACGTGAATGCTCACAGCTCAGTGTTACTATCTGTAACAGCCAAAAAGCAGAAACAACTCAAATGTCCATCATGGATGAATGGATCAACAAAATATGTCAATCCCACAGAATAGCCTGCAGGATGGAATACTGAGTTGTCAAAAGGAATGAAGTGCTGATAGATGCTACAACATGGATGACCCGTGAAAACATGACGCTAAATGAAAGAAGTCAGACACAAAAGGCCACAACATGATTCCATTTATATATAAATGTCCAAAAGAGGCAAATTCATGGAGACGGAAAGGAGATTAGTGGTTTCTAGGGGTGATGGGAAATAAGGAATGGGGGGACATCTAATGGATGTGAGGTTTCTTTTTGGAGTGATGAAAATGTTCTAAAATTTACTGTGGAGATGGCTGTACAACCGTGCAAATATTTATACTGTTAAGGGTAAAATTTATGGTATATAAATTATATCTCAATAGAGCTATTATTATTAAACAAACTGGCTGCTAATCTACACAAGAACTGAGACAAAGGTGTTGAGCTCTGTGTGATGGTGAGCTGATCTTACAGAGCAGGTTGAATAATCAGGGAGACATGTTTATGGACCTAGGAGTTCTTAGAAGCTTGCAGGAATGAACTAACTTAGAAAAGAGGTGGGACGTGACACTTACAGGCAGAAGAAGAGCAAGGCTCCTGTTTTTCACGAACCAGAGGTCAAACCCCACCTCACTTACTTACTAGTTTGGAGATCCCTGTTCAAATCACTGGCCTCAGTTCTCTCGTTTGTAAAATGAAAGTGGTAACACTTTTCTTGAAGATCGATGGGAAGGATTAAATGAATAATAATGAAGCTATCCTGGCATCATTCCTGGCCTTAATAAATTCACCATTATTATGGCTGTGATCCAGTAAACCAGGAGGTCATTGAGAAAGCAACTAACAGCTTCCAGAGGAGAACAAAAACTGCAGCAGGAGAGATTTATTAGGACTCAAAACCAATTTCCTAGCATAATAAGCATTGTTAAACATTGGAATACATTAAAGGAAGCTAGATATAATTCCAAAATTTAAAAATAAGTATCATTGCGTGCCTAAGGGCAAGGATATGACTCAGACCACATCCTAAGTTAGATTTCAGACCTATCTGTATTAAATAAAAGAAATAAAGATTTTTACAGAGTTGTGTAATTTGGGAATCTGATGTAATGCATAAGTTTGAACATTTGTATTCATTAGAAAAATGAAAATATATATGCCAGAACAGCTGGCCAAATCATCAACCATCATGCCTGAGTAAACAGTAGTACCTACATAAAATTTCCTTGTTGTTGTTTAAATACTATTAATAAGGGCAAGATGTTCTAACTGTTACAACATACAATAAAACTTTTAAAGTACCTTGGTGTTGACTGACTGTTAAGATTCAAACGTGATCCCAGTGAGGACACTGACCATCTAAAAAAAACTCAGCAACCCAATGCTTCACATGCAGAGCTCCCTCCCAGCCCCTCAAGGAGGAGGAAAGTAAATGTGCCCAACTGACACACCCAGCAAGATCCCTAAGGGTGCTTCCTAAGGGGCTGAGAGTAAATGGCTGGTGGTAGTGGTGGAAGCTTTGCTCCTCTAGGGGAACACTGGCCTTTTGGGGGCCAACTGGCAACCCCAGAGGAGTAGTGAATACTTTGGTGCATGGGAATTCTAATCTGAGTCAAACCCTTAGGGCCCAGGGACTTGCACCAATCTCATAAAGATATAATAAAATTGTAAAAAGCTGTTTCTCCAGCCACTGTTTAAATATTAAGCCTAGAGAACTAGAATAACAGAGTGATTAAAGGCACTGGCCTTGAAACCAAACTCATGGACTGAATCCTGGTTCTAACACTTCGTAGGTATGGGAATCACTGAATCCCAGTTTTCTTCTTTTGTGAAATGGGAACATATCTCCCTCTACTGACTTCCTAGAATACTGAATTTAGAAGGGTGATGAGGCCATACCCTAGCCCAGTGGGAGCAGAATTGTGATTGACTGCTGATGTCAGCCATGGGTAAGGGTTGGATGCATGTAAGCATGTATGCATTTATCACACTCCGCTCCACACAGTGCCTGAAATGTTCATGAGTGCTCAATAAATGTTGGCACTTCATATTAAAATGCCTGGTCACTGCTCTCTCTGGTTATGAAGACAGTGCATCTGGTGAGTTAATGTCCTTGATGGCAGAAGGACAGCCTTCCTTGGGAACTCTTGCATCAGTTTGTTTCTAAGTATTTCTCTCTCCTCTAGTACTTTAAGAATTGAGTACTTGAGTAAGTACCATTGCTTCCTATGAGTCCCCAGTGGCACACTTGCTTTACACGTACAGGCACACCCTACTTTTTCAGTCTGCATTTTGTCACTTTGCTTTTATGGAAGACACAGATTAGTACCTGTTTTTGCTAACAGAAAGATATCTGAAGAGGATTTTCGTTTTTACCAAAAAAAGGCAATAGGTAAAAATAGTACTCAGCGTTTGTTCTGCAGCACTGTCAAGCTCCTCCCTGGGGCCACACTCAGTATCTCAACATCAAGCCACCGCAGCTTTAAACTGTCAGTGAGCATCTGTGTTTTTCTCAATTTCTTTTGTGCATCTGTTAACAAGATGTGTCCTAGGGTATCAGAAAACCTTTAAAAGAGGTTATTTTTGGGTCTGGGAACAACTCAAAAAGTTATCTATGTAAGTTCATGTAAGTTGTTTCTTCACTTTACTCCATTTTGGCTTAGAAAAGACTTCATAGGAACACTCTGCTTTCAGATAGTGGGGAAAACCTGTATAAGATATTTTATGCATTTAGAATCAAAAATATGCATAGTAACTATCAAACCTACTGGACACCAGAGGGCACACACCATCTACAAAGGATTCCCTAGATACATATCAAGGCCACAAAGCTTCACTCAGGGCACCCATTCTCTGGAGATCTTGGCTGCACAGGGGTTTGGAAGGCCAGTGGAGACTGGACTGATGTCCAGGGCAGGGTACTAGGGCTAGTGGTCTTTACAGTTGGGCAACTCAAGGCTACATCCTTTGACAAAGACAGGCTCTGTGGCCTGTACCCTGCTGGGATAGCGCTGCAGGTACAGAGGTAAGGTCTTGTGGACCACCCACAAAATGCCTCAGGGAGCAAAGGGCACGAACACACACTGCAGAGCCCACGTGTTCACAACTTGTCTTGAGGACCACTCTCAGGGAGGTCTGTGGACTCAATGAGGTCACATGTCAGGAAGTGGAGGCAGGATCCATGATCAGGAGCCCTAATGGACTGGACAGTGCTCACTGCTCACCCTGCACCCCCACGGCAGCTTTGACCCAGGCATGGAGCCCCAGGGGGCAGCAGGAGAACCAGCTAAGGACGGACTCCAGGTCATCCTGTAGCAAGACAGTTCCAGAAACTTGAAGCACCTGGACCCAGCAGATCGTTTCACTATGTTTTGAAAATGTGGATGTTTATTGTTCTATTTCTTCCTCAGTTATTTTCCTTTTTGTGGGGGAAGTTGTATTGATTAAAACTTCAAATCAAATGAAACCAAAAATCTTGGAGAAATTCATCTGCCATGATGGAGACATTCTTATGCCTCCATTCCCTTCCGATTAGTGGTTGAGAGCCCTTCTGCACCAGCATGCAATGAGGGCAGGTTTGTTTCCCTGCTCCCCCACCCAGAGCAATTTGCCAGCCCCTTTTTAATCTGGGTGAAGACATCTCACAAAATGGTTTTTGCCAAGCATGCAGGTACCTCTGTGAAATGTTTCCAAGCCCACTAAACGTCCATCTCTCCTCCTACTGAGAAGCCCTCACCAGGAAGAGCATTTCAGACTTCAGGGAACTATCTGGGATACCTTCCCACCTGGAAGGCATGCCTGAGCAAGCGACTGGCAGGGAGCAATGCTGGCAGGTACATTAGATAAAAAACGCTGTTATAACAAAAGCTACTGATTTAGAAATGCCTCTGTGCTGAGGACATACCAATGCACAATAATCGGGTCTTTAGCCACGTGATGTCTGCAGTCTGTGTACTCAATCTAATCAAGCCTCATCACTACCGCGAGGCAGGAGTGAGCACACAGGCTCATCAACAGCGGGAGTCAGGATGCAGGGCTCCTGGTCCCTGACCACTGGGCAGCCTCTCTCTGGTCTCCTTTCTCAGCACGACAGGGACCCAGCACCAATCCTAGCACTGTGATCTTCGGCACTGCACTCCCATGAAGGGACCCAGGCAGTTATGACCGGCTCCTGGTTTTTTTTTAAGCAGCACTACTGGCACAATGGCACAAGGGGAAGCTTCATCAAGACCAGGAAAGGTCCCCAAACAGAGGTCTCTGCAGGCTGAGAGGATGCTGGCTATTGCCTGGGGAACTCAAGATCCCTTGGAGAATACCCAAGAGCAAACTGCATTTTCCCAGATTATCTTTGCTCCTTTCTCCAGCGTGGATGTGGGCTTTGGAGGGAAGATTATAGTCATTTCCCTAACACACTCCGGCACATTTGCATTTGCTTTTAACACATTTCAAGGTACACACCCTATGTTCTGTTCAGAATACATGGCACAGGGCTATAAAGAAGTTTTTCCTTCAAGGCTATTTCTCTTTACAAGATAAATCATTTTGAAGCCAACAGCTGTCCTTTTTCATAACATTCAAGAGAGGGGGCAGGAAAACCTCTTTTCTGAGAAATTAGAGGGAAACAACATGGCTTTGCCTATTTAGTCTGTGACTCTTTGGCAACTGTCCTGTGACCAGGAGAAGCATCCTTTGTCCCCAAACTTAAATCTCAGGTTGAAT